AAAATTGACAATTATGAGCATGAATTTAAGCTCATAGTGACTTGTGCGGCAAAAATTCGCACTTGATGATGGGCTCGGGCGCGAACAAATGGAAAGGTACGGAATTGATGACCGACGTCCGCGATTCAAGGATTAAATTGCCGACCTTGACGATCGGATGCGGCATGGAGCATTTGAGCACTGATGAGCCCAACAACAGCGGACTCGCGTAGGTAGCATGTATAGTAAATAAAGTAACGAGGATAACAAACTTACCATCACTGCCAGCTGCACAGATATCATTGTATTAAACATAAACATTATTAGATAAAAAGGGATTTCAATACCGAATTGCAAACAAGCCCTCGCTTATACGCCCATTGGTTCGTACATGCATTATCGCTAACCAATGCTACACCGCTAACCAATATGTTGATAATACAAGCATTTGCACTTAAGAATCGAAAGTAATAAGTAGATGACATTGTATTATTAATGTAAGGATACTATGACGAAAAGATGCGTAAAAAAGGCTTTATAAAAAAAAATATACATTACTAATATATTTGTAATTTAAGTAAATAATTTGTATTTACTAATAAGCCTTAGATAATAAAATTATCTATAATTTGGCTATAATTGGGACAGAAATTTTCTGAATTTAATAAGACAACTTTTTCCGCGACAAACTATATTATTTTATAATTAATACTTTACATTTGTAACGTACTTATTTACAAATTCTAGATCTTCCTTGGATATATTGAAAAAAATTTTCAGTGTTTAAGTATTATATAATTATATAAATATTATATTATAATATACAAAAATATGTCCTTAGTATTCAGTTTTTATGTATAATAACAGTAAATTGTCACGAGAAACGTTGATAATAATGATAAAATATATATTACCGATATGTCAAGGTTCAGCTTGACCAGGAGTTCAATGTTTAATTTAAGAAAATTGACTGTAAATTTTTGTAAAAAATTCAATTACAAATTGTGAATATCATGAATAATAAATTTGAAATAACAGTACTCGCGAAAAACTAATCCTGTACTATGTTATTTATATGAGACTGATATGTACGCTTATACTGACACATACATTTACTGGAATACGTATATAATACAGGAGAATATTTGTGTGCGCAAACTTTGATATTCACTTTTTCTTTATATAAGGGAATCTCGTATAATACAGATGCTAACTGCATGTTTAAAGTATCAGAATAAACTGATTAATTAATGTAAATATATAATTATAATTTTTTAAATAAAATATATAAATATAATTATAAGTTATAAATATATAAATATAACATTCTGTTCTATATATACACAACATTCGAAATTACTTATTATTAGAATTATATAATTTTTGCATTTCATAAAAATATCTCTACAATTTATATTCATTTTAGCAAAAAAAAAAAAGAAAAAAATTTATTCTCATATTAATTCTTAATGTTTACTATTTACGTAAAATTCAAAAATAAAAAAATTTATAATAAAATGTGGAACAGTGAAGATTTTTGCCTTTTAGAGCAAAAACCTTATTTATTTACTGATATGATGATTCTCAATTATATTAATTATTTATCGAATTATCTGTAGAATATTGTAAAATTTTGCATAGAATAAGAATAATCACACACAGTATGGTCGAAAAATAAATGAATTTTATTCATTTGATTGAATATTAATCATGAATTTCATTGAATATTATTCATACGAATGAGCAAATAGAGTGAAAATATATTAGTCCAAATACTTTGAATTATGATTTTAAATGAGTGAAATAAAGGAAATATCTGATAGTAAAATTATCATTACATATAGTATCGAACGATATGTAGAATTTCTAATGAAACCAACTGATTAAATGATCTTTTAGATTGGCCGAGTGCTATGCCCGAATTAGAAACATTAGCTAATATGCTACAAGAGCAATACTCTCCTGGACAAATGCTTCGCTTTCTCTTCCTCCTTGCGCATTATTATGCACTTGGCGGCAACCTTGAGTCAACAAACTCACCCGACAACTCGCCTCTCATCAGATATAACAATAAAAATACTTCATAATTCATACGCTTACTGATCCCAGCCATGTTTCCGGAGCGTCGATGGAGAATCCAGCCTCCAGCCTTGTACCGCACTCGTTTACCCGAGTATATAAGCCACTTTTTATCCAACCAAGTGCTCTCACATACTATCCCATACTCCATGATTTTTGTCTCAATATCATTTACGAACATCTGCTTCTCACTCGGAACTCCCATACTCTTGGGTAGACGATATTGCGACTCTGCTCGCGTTATTTTCATCGGCGTTTCTATCTCTAATCTGCTCACAATTCTAATTCCTCGTTTCATTAAAATTATATCGATTAATATGCGATCAAGTCTAATCGACAAAATTGTACCTATGCAAGCTTAAAAGGGAATGTTTATGTTTAATTAACTATTTTAAATTGCCTAATATCACTCTTTCATTATGGATGTAACACCTGATCACATGGTAACTCAAATATTCGCACGAATACTTATTATTACACACAGAAATCTTTATGAAATCTTCTAATACAAATATTATCATTAGATCACTATACTTAAGAATTGAAAACTACGTATTTAGTTAATTATTTAGTAATTTCGAGAATCAATAAATAAAATTGAAAAGATTTTATGTTTTTTGATAACAATACATCTTCTAAATAATCTTTTACGATTAATTTTTTATTTAAAGAATAATTTTTATTTAAACCCATAGTAAGCCTTTTCTTATACGAAAAACAGTCATATTTTTAAAATTCATATTTTAAGACTGTGGTTTAAGTAAATATCAAACACTTTGTTATTTAAATTTTTATATTAAAATGTTTAGCTTTTTTAATATTTTATTTTTTAATCACAACACATTCATAAAACATTATGATTATGATTCTTTATAAAAAAAAAAAAAAAAAAAAAAATACCTATATATTTCTATAGATAATTTCTCTAAATACTTTATAATGGCAAAATGATAATTTAAATACTATTATAGCAATAAATATAAGTTTTTGTAAAATCGTTATTCGTGGAATAAAAATTAATTATCGAAAATTAGCGAGAAACTAAATTTTTGTTTTATTTTTTGTCTTTTATAAATTTAATATTAATGACAAGTTCCAATGAACCTCCTGAAATTGATTTTACTTATAAACATTTATATGTAAATAAAGAAGAATTTTGAATATTCAATTAAGTCTTGTGTAGAGTTTATTAAAAGTTTAATATATCTTTAGATCAAGTAACTACGCATTTATAGAAATATTCGTAATAACTAAATAAATACATCCATTTTAAAAGAGTTGAAAATTTGAAAAAAATATTATTGACTATTTATTTTAATACATATTTCATGATAAATTAGTATTTGTTCGAAAAATGATTAAACATACAAAGCTGATAATCAAAAAACTAAATCAATAGTCATGTAGAATTATGTATGGATTAATGTTGAAACGATACTTATATTTTTTAATAGATATTTACTTAGTCAAGAATATTATTTTGTATTATTTAAAAGAAATCAGAGATACGCTTGAACGAAAACCAATTTTTTTTTAAATTTTTGTCAAAATCAGAAAAAAATATTTAGTACAATAAAGTTTTTGAATGTAACACATTTATAAAATCAATGTTGTTTGATCTTCATATACGATCTTAGTATTTGTATAAAATTAATCGCTGATTTTATTTAATATTTAAATTTTTTTTTTAAAATATTTTAAACTATTTATGAATGGAATTCTAATAAGTTTTCATTTAAACAGAGTAATGATAAATTTCTTTCAATATATATATTTTTATAATGTTCATTACTAATATCCCTTGTTTTTCTCTATGATTTATTAACAATATTACAATTTTTATAAATATTATAAGTCAATCTCAAGCTATTTAAAATACTTTATATATTCTAAAAATTTCAAGATCGAGCTACGTTTAATATATTTATTTTATAAAGAAGCCTTCAAAATTCAAGGTTGCGCCCTTTATTTCATATACAGATTGAGTATTCAATACTAATTTTATTCAATGCTAATTTCGATAAAAAATTTTTATTTACAATAAAAACAAACTTGCTGTCTATCAATATTATAATGATTATTATTATAATTTAGTTTAAAAAAAATTAATTTAACTGTATAAATGGTAATATTTTTATTACATTTATTTGACACTATTATATATTTGATTTAAATGTCGTTAAATTTATTACATTACAATAATTACAAAATTTATTCGTATTTCTATTATATTTCAATAAGGACTTTCCGTAAGTAATTAAGAATCGTATAAATGAATTTATGGAAAATATAAAGTATTAAACAGATATGTTCGATGTGAATGAATTAATTCGACTTTATTAATCTAATATATAAAATTAGAGAATAAAATTAATTCCTTTGTTCCTTTGTAATAAGTAAAATTATAAGTTCTTTCATAACCCTTTTTAAGCTTTGGAATAATAACGTTTGTTTGGACAATATTATTCTTTATAATATTTTTAATTAATTAAATTGTTTATCCATTTCTTCAAAATAATATTAATTATTTAATATTATATATTTATATATTTTTTAAATATATATAAAAATTATCTTATAAATATATTGTAATAGCAAATAAAATGTACATAAATCATTATTGAATCCGTGATTTAGAAGATTAAATTTATAAAGTCAGCTAATGTTTTCTCTCCGTTATATTATTTTTAATGTTATTAAAGTAACGTAATTCAGTTAGGGATTAATTGAAAATTACAATTATTTAAATTATAGCTATTAAACGTGGATATTTTAGAAGGAAAATTAATTTTATAGTTTCAAAGTACAGATAATATAATAATATTCATTTATTAGTTTTTTTTTTGTTGTTGTAAAAAGTATTAATTACTACATACATTATCTTATTCCCTTTAGTAATAGAATATCGTTTGTTGTATTCTTAATCCTACGTGTGTTTTTAGGTTAAGCAGTCATAAAAAATTTACTCTACATTTTTAAAGCGTTTTCTAGGTCTATTTATAAGTATATTATTACTGTTCACATTATTTCAAATAGTTGCACTAATTGATAAAAAATGAATTTCTCAATTCACATAATTTACTTAATATTAGAATATAAATTATTAAATGATTTAATCATTTTTATTTTATGATTAAGACATTAATTCATTACATACCTCATTCATTCGATTTTATATAATATATAGGTACATAATTATATGTTATTAACCTTTATTATTAACGTTGTTAATAATGAACGTTGTTACTAAGAACATCTGTTATTAATCAATGGTAAAAAAGTTTAAAACTATTAATTTCAAAAATATTGAAATTTAAAATTGCAATTTTCATATTATTTTTTTATCCGTAATAATTAATGCAGTTGTATCATAGGCAAAAAAATATATTATAAAGTAAATATTTTTTTACATTTGAGGATATACGTGATTTTTTATTTTGAATAGTTTAATGATGATTTAACTCTAAAGCAAGTAATTGTAATTTATTTATTTGTTTTTTGATTTGTCTAAATATCTATATATCTATATATCTATATATCTATCTATATATATATATATATATATATATATATATATTTGGAGTTGTTAAAGTAAGTTAATTATGTACGTCAGAAGTATATAAAAACTATAAATATAATTTAATTCGAATTTTTAAATGGAAATTTATTAATACCTATAGAGTATTCTGCTATATTTTACGGAAGATACTAAGTAAAACTTTATTGGCTATCATCTAAATTATATAAATAGGTGTTTAAATTGTGTTTATGAAACTTAACTTCAGGCCGATGAAACTTGACAATGTAACGGCACAATCGCATCTTAATAATGACGTGGTAGTTCGGAAATTTGGCCAATGCAACTTAATAGAAAGTGAGATTGAGATTATATAGTACGAAATAACATAGAAACATGAAAACAAGATTGAATAATTTCAATGTAGAAAAAACTACTTTCTATTAACATTCTAATACAATTATTTTAGTACATCTTTATATGAATATGAAGTAAATATGTATTAATTTTATTAATTCTTAGCGTATGAATTTTCAAACGTGTTTCAATTATCTAAAAAGCAGGTATAATCAATAGTAATTAAATTGTAATTAAATTTGTCACATGTTATATTTAATTAATTTGGAATAATTACGTGACACATCTCTATCAAATATCAGGTAATATTAATTTATTTTTGGATTAGACTAATTTTATACAATTCTATTGGTAAATACAGTAATTTAAAAGAAAGTTTTTAAATATTACAAATTACATTTATTGCATAAAATTGTATTTTTAAGCACTCCTACTACTTCATTTAAATACTAAGTACTTATTAGCAGAAGTCAAACAAAATTCGCTTTTACTAAATAATTGCACTCGGGGATCAATATAGATGGTATTTCAATTATGCAGCCATATTTACGGAACGAATATATTAAATTACGAGTGCTTTGTACTTTAATTTGCTGCTTAAAATTTTAATGAACCGTTTTAGTTTAATATTATTCTAAAAATGGGAGTACTTATTCGAATTTTTTTTTTTTTTTTTTTTTTTTTTTTTTTTTTTTTTTTTTTTTTTTTTTTTTTAATATATATATATATATATTATATCTCAAAAATATTGTTCCTTTGGTCGTAATACTAATCACATCTTTCTCGAAATATACATAATATATAATTTTCAAACTTTTTTAAAATTAAAATTACTTTCATAATCAACATTTGTAGTACTGTTTTTGTAAGATTTTCTCTTATATCACATTTGAATCTCATTTATTTCGACATAATACTGAATGTTATAAAAAAAATTTCTCCCAGCAAAGTTTCTTCATCTGTTGCATTAGCTAACCACAATGACCATATAAATCCATTTATTTAATATCATTTCTGCATCGAAAGATAAATCAAATAGTCGCTGATAGTATCGACAAATCCCGAGTCATTAGCACAAAGAGCAACGAGTGGTCGGCAATGAGCCTCGCTCATTCCATTTCAGCCCATCGGAGAATCTCGTGTCCTTGACCTTGAAGAAGCCGATCCAGCCAGATGAGCCGATGAGTCAGATCTCATCAGACAAAATAATAACAGACTCCTATCGGTAGGCGGCCGGCCACACTTGCAGCTTGTTATCCTCTTCCGGCAACCAGTTGTCCTTGTACCGGATTCCAAGTGTATCGAGTATAAAAGCAGCGAGCCCGAATCCCGACGCCATCAGATTCCTTCTGCCCTGCACCAAGATACTTATAATCGCCGCTCTAACCATGTACAAGCTCGTGATCCTCGCGACGTGTTTGGCCGTGGCCAAGGCTGGACTCATCGCTGCCCCTCTGGCCGCTGCACCACTGGCCTACGCCGCCCCGGTCGCTTCAATCGCTTACGCGGCGCCCGCGCCCATCATCAAGGCCGCGCCACTAGCTTACGCGGCACCGGCCCCCATCATCAAGGCAGCCCCCCTGGCCTATGCAGCACCGGCTCCCATCATCAAGGCTGCCCCTCTGGCCTACGCAGCACCAGCTCCCATCATCAAGACCGCCCCCCTCGCCTATACCGCCGGGCACATCATCGTCTAGTAAACTTCCTATCTTCACGACGAGAACGAGTTGCCGACTCCACTTACACGAGATATCTCGTCTCTGAACATTACCGAGTAATTAAGCACGTACCTGTACTGGAATTCATCGCGCCCTGATCACAGCCGACCAGGCAATAGGCGTCTCCTGCTATGGCGCTGATCAAAAATACGCGCGAATACAATTTTCTAAATTGATATTCATCTGTGATTAATTGTCGACCATTTGAATAAATTATTGATTTTTATTACAATTCACTTGTTTTCTTCCTATTTACCGCACTTTGTATCACATCTATCATCCCCCATCCTTGCACAACTTTTCGCAAAATCATATCTAATAGGAAAGATAAACGCTTAATCGATGAGTGAGTATAAGCTACTAATCCAAGCTGCCTATAATCGCGTACATTGTTCGCTTTTAAAAATAAATTTTAATTTTCATTGTCAAGATATGAAATTAATAATAATAATAATAATAATAATAATAATAATAATAATAATAATAGCTTTTTGTAATACAATGTCACAGGCGTGAATTCGGTAATATATCATCGAGGCGCATTTTCCATTATTAACGTGGAATAAAATTTAATTATATTTAAATTTTAATTATAATTCAGCGACGGACTTTAAACATATTTATATTAATTTCAGCGTGTTTGTATGACTAATCAGTTACGCCACTCTGATTAACGACATGAAAATACTTATTTCTATTTGTGGCATGAAATAGACACACGCAAAACTCACATTTAAGATACGCGTATTCCACGAGTTTGACTATGAATTTCAATTTAATGGTATTTCATTAGGAACTGGGCGAGCTCCACGAGGATGATGAAATATACGATAATTATTCCAATATATAGTGCACAAAGCGTAGATTATTATTCTCTAACAACCTCATCTTTCTCATTGAAATCTTAAGATTCTGTAATATATCATTATATCAGGACTCTATGTAATATGATATATAATATAATAATCTCTGGGATGAAACGGAATTTCAATTCTTATTTCAGAGACAAATGATACGGTATTATACACATACGACTCGGATGCATAATTTATAAATCTAAAACAGATAATATAGATATGAAGAATAGTTCATGAACAGCGTTTGGTCGGCAAAAAAAAATTAATTAAAAAGAATTAGACGTTTATAATGAAGTTACCAAAAATAATATCGTTTATTCAAATCGAGTTTTATAACAAAATTTACAGACCGGAATAAGGGGCTAAATCACTAAATAACATGATGATAATTCAATAAAAAAAAAAAAACTATCAAATATAAATAAGTTAAATGGAACTTTATAGAAAAAGTATTTTAATAAAGTAGTATTGAATTTCCACAACTTCACGTACGTATTTGAATAACAACATGACAAAGTCTCATGTGCATTTATTCGGCGAAATCATATATCAGTTGCGGAAGTGACGATTGGATCTATAAGAATTTGATTATAGAATTATAGAAGGGAATAGCTATGAACACATTACAAAAATACTTTACACGTAATAATTTATAAATCGACTTTGAAAATTGAGTCTTCGATAATTGGACATTAAAGAAAAATGTCACATTTATATAGAGATCGTATGTTCATTAATTTTGCAAATAAACAATTATTCATTAATTTTCAATATAATATAAAGTTTTAAATGTATCGATAATAAAACTTACGTCTAGTAAATAAAATACCTCCACATATATAAAAAATGAAATTATTTAAAAAAAGAAATTATTTAAATTTATAATGTCTAGGAATAAAAATCTAATTGAAAGATAATGACTTTAAGACACACTTTCGACATCATTCTAATTTTAATCATTAAATAAATTTTATTCTTATCCAATTAACTTGCCAATAAATACGAATTACATAGAACATATATGCTAATTTAAACATATTTTGTAAATGTAAATATGATCATCTTCAAGTTGTAAGTACGTAAGTAGATACTTAAAAAAATTTCGTATGCTTGATTACACTTGGATTGCATACTCAAGGTGGACCAATATTTTTTCCATAATAAGGTTTGCCAAGGTCTAAAGTAACTTGAATATTAAAGTGGTGTTCATTGATATTCTTTCGAATAAAATGGTTCATTAAAATGTTCACTTCTTAAAGGTTATGGGAGGGTATTTGATTACAATGAAATAAGAGAAAGTGGAGGATTTTCTACAGTTTTGCAAGAAATTCTATATAGAAGCAAAATGATTTTACGAGTGTCTATAAGAGATATTACATTCTTGCTTTTCAAAGCAAACATGACTTTTTACAGATTGTTATAGTTTATAAAATTTTTTTGAAAAAATATAAAGAATAATAGTTTATATACTAGAGCCTTTGCTCTAGTAACCTAATGCTCAATTAAAATTATCAGCATTAATTTACACTGCACATCATTAGTTTTGTATTTTATAAAGCGATTGTTCTTATATATTAATAGGGATAGACAAGTTGCTGAACGATATATTGAAGTATAATAATAACTTATATAATATAAATGAGAATAATTTATAAAGATCGATGGAACATTCAATTGTAAAAGAAATTAAATGAATATAAATAATGTAAATAACAGAAGAATTATTACTTGAAAATTCTACACGAGATTTGTAATTATAATTTGGAATTATAAAAAAATATAAGAATAGATAATTTTATATTATATGATGAGAAATTTAAATAAATTTTGGAATTACATATTACTGCATTTCATTATAAACGAATATTAAAAATTAGATGAAAATTTCAAGATATTGTGCGAGTTCAAATAGAATTATACATATTCTATTTTTCTATAATTATATATATATATAATCATAATAATAATAATATATTTTACTTATTATTGCATACATTTATAAATAAAATATAAAAATATAATAATATTTTCTTATTGATGGTCTAAAATATTAAATAGAATAAACAAACAATAAAATTTTAATAATCATTTAAATTTGAATAAATGTTGTAATCATTGTACTCTGTATTCTAATTCGAATTAGAAAGATTTCTATGGATTTAATTTTTAAATAATTACTATATTAAAAGTCCAAACATATAGAATGTCTTAATCGGAAATGATATTAATTTTTGTACATAAATAATAATAAAAAAAAACCCAATATTTTCAAATATTTTAATAAAAAATACGGGAGTATAATAATGATACGATAAATAATCATATAATCATTATTTTTTATATATTTTATATATAATTATAAATTAAAAAAAATTTTTAATTATTGTTAAAATATATAAGAAAATAATATATTTCCTGAATTATACCATATCTATTAATATCTGGATTATGATTATAAATTATTTCAACTTTAAGCATATATTAGGTATATTAAATATTAGTTTTCTCAACTTTTAACAAGTATACCAGTTAGTTTGTAAGTAATCTGAAATTTTATATTATGATTATGATTCCAAGCAATGAAAATATTAATTATTAAATAGGATTAAATAGTAATTTATTAAATATCAAACCATTCTATCGATTCCCAGTCGTATGCATTATATTATAAACATTTAATTGTTTAAAAATTACATTAAAATATTTTTCATCTTAAGGTTAATAAAGAAATGTTTTAAATAAAATTGTATTCTATATATATATATATATATATAAGCAATTATACGACTTTATATTATATAAAAATGTAATTTAACGTCGCTAATGAATGCTGAATTAATAAACGGCTGGACAAACATCACACACTAGCGGGCCATCAATAACCGGTAAACAATGATATGACGCAAAATAACATTTGGTCAAGCACATTTATGGAGGATGAACGTAAAATTTAGTAAAAGAAGAGTCGCAAAAGGCTATACATTAAAAGTCCAATGCGTTGACTAGCGGGACATCACGTTTCTGTGTGTGAACTAAATTTAAAGCGCTCGACCATGCGTACATGCGGTGGAGCGACATTACTCGGATAATTTATATGGTTTGCTCGGCTACGAGAACGTGCGAACAAAAACCGACCCATTTTTCCAACACATGTACACACTAACACACATTTAATTTCTGTCTTTTGACTTTTCGGCATCGCGCCACCCGCTACATCAGCGTCCTCGATAAAAGAGGCGAATCCTACGTGACAATGCGCATCTCGACCCCAATATCCCATTCATTGCTCTCCTCTCGTAGTCTTTTCCTTTTACTCATTCTCATGAAATCCTTATATATATATATGGAATACTCGTAATTTTACACCGTGTGCGCGCTAATCGAATGTGTATCTTCAATTAGACGTCGATTCGTTCCACGATCCATTCACTGCTTATTTCTAATTGGCCGTCAAACTATCTTCCGCGTTTAATAAACTAAAGCATATTTTACAAATTAAAATTTATTACTAAAAGTATACAAGTTGATTTATAATATTGTATTTTGTAATGGTCTAACTACAAAATTATAATTATAAATATTCAAGTCTATTAGAAGCAAAATATTAAGTTTGTAATCGATTATATTTGTGGATGAATGACGATAATTATAAATTTATTAATTAAAAGTAAAAGTTTGATTTAGATTACATAAATAAAATTTAATCTTATCATATTTGTTAAAATAATTTAATTAAATATTTGATTTAGTAAACTGCACTTATGTCATCACACTAATAGTTTTAATAATTTTTGAGAAATATCACATATATATTAATTAACAACAAATCCCAATTCTGTCATAGTTAATAAATAAACATATTACACACGTACGCGCGCGCATACATCCGCCGCCCGCACAAGCCCCCCCCCCCCCCCCCACACACACACATATATATATTATAAATCGTTTATATATACTATAAAGTATATAAAATATTATTTAAGTAAAAATGAAAATTGTGATTTTCATTGAATATATTCGATTGACAAGCGTTTTGTATTATATTTATATTTGCTCAGTATTTCAATGAACTTAAAATAATTTTACTACATGCCAAAAATAAACGAAAGTTAATTAGTTCTAAACATAATTTAAAGCAGCTAATAATATCTAAACATTAATTTTAGCTACAAACATCAACATTTCAATAATATACTTACATAATATGCTATTTACATAATATATTCATCGGACTTATATTTGACAATTTTTAAATATTTTCGATAAGTCATTCTTTTCATAAATTTTTCATAAGATCCTTATTTGACTTATGTTAATAGTACCGACATTTAGCACTTCCGTATTGGCATTTTAATAATTCATGCAGTTGAAG